TTTATTCAAAGAAAAGTTAAAACTTTAATTTACTTTTCTACAAATTTGTCCAAAAATTGATGATTTGTATGAATAAAAACAAAAAAGTAAATTAAAATTTTCTATGAATAAAAACAAAAAATAATTTGAGGAAGACTAAAATATGAATATTTTACTATATGTTATAAAAATACAAACCTTTAGTAACGTTACGTGTAACATTTTCTAATAAAGCATAGAATAAAATGAAAAAGTTAATAAAATTGCTTTTAAAAATAATCAAAATTTCAATCATTATTTATCTACCATATAACCATAGCTGCTACATTTATCTCTTTTTTGAAAAAATATGTTTTTTAGATTTATTTAATTTAGATTGGTTACCTATATTTAAATCATATCATTGACGGATATAAGATGAAGCGTTACGTCAACTTTATATATATTAAGCTTAAAGTTTAATATATTTTATTAATTTTGCTTTTCCTAGGTCATCACCTCGTAGATTAAAGTTTTAAATATGATTCTATATGCTTTTACGCCTACCTTGAAACATTAGTGTTGATGTATTGTTCAAATATCTTTACTCTTTTTTGTGGTCGTGAGAGAAAAAAGTGTTTTTTTTTTTATATTTTTGTTTTAGTCGATACTCTACCCTCTATTTTTTCTTGTCGGTTGTTCTTTTTTAATTATTTTTAAAAAAATCATATTTATCTTTAATAAATGTTACGCCAATATAATATAAATAAAATTAAAATTTCAAACATTTACCAGTTATAATTATCATTATCATTAATTTCAGTTACAAATATTAAATATTCTTGATTTTTTTAAGACTAGGGTTAAGTTGGAATGTTAATTCGCAAACGGAATAGCATTTTTAATTTTTAAAAAATTAACCCAACTGAAACTTATAAACAAAAAAAAAAAAAAAAAAAATCCAATCCAACCCAACCCAACCCAACCTTCATCACATACACCTGATAAGAACTAGATAGATACATAATGCAATGTAATATCGGAGAAGAGAATTTAGGCTTAATGTGATCGAGTTCCCGACCTATGAGCTGCAACAAATTGAAAAAAAGAACTATAATGATTTTTGTTTAAAACATTTAAGAAGGATATAAATCCTCAAATACTAGTAAGCGAGGCTTATAAATGTCCCGTCTAAATCTACTTATGGTCGAGAGTATTTAAACCATTATATATATATATTTTTTTTTTTGCTCTAAAATTAAAATAAATATTTATTTAAAAAAGAAAAAAAAGGAATAACTATGGATAATTATAACCATTAGCTTGTTATGACGTCCCACGTTCAATCACAATGAGAACAAATCACCATTTACAAGGGTGTGAAAACCTTCTCCGAGTATACGCGTTTTAAAGCCTTGAGGAGAAGCTTGAAAGGGAAAGCCCAAAGAAGACAATATCTGCTAGTGCTGGATCTGAGCCGTTACAAATAGTATCAGAGTCAGAACGAGACAATGTGTTAGCCTTCTCGCTAGGTCCCAAAGGGGTGGATTTGAGGGTGGTCTCACATCGATTGAAGGAAGGAAAAAGTGCCAATGAGGACGCTAGACCTCGAAATGGGGTGGATTGTGATGTTCCACATTAGTTGGTTCCAATTAGTTGGAGAAGAGAACAAATCACCACTATTTACAAAATTGTGAAAACCTTTCCTAACAGACATCAATGTCACCATCATCATAAATAGATCTTTGAAGATATAAGTAATATATATATATAGATCAAAAGGCTAAAAAGTAATGCTAAGAATTTTTTTCTTTTAATAAAATAAAATAAAATCTATCAAAATGGTAAATTAGAGATAATTCTTTTTAATATAAAAGATACCTTTAATTATAAATTCAATTTCTAAATTTTTATATTTGTGTTTAATAAATCGTTTAAGCTATAAAATATGTTAAATTAGTCTCTACCATTTTTTATTTAATATTTAGCATTTTTAAAAATTTAATAAATTTATTCATATAAAAAATATTTTTGTGTCTATTATACTTTTGATTTTTTTAATGTTAAATAGGTAAAAAAAAAAAAAACCTCTTAAATATAAAATAAAAAATTAATAATTTAATAGATAATTTCTAAAGTTCAATTATCCATTAAATATAAAATTCAAAAACTTGTCATAAATGATTTTTTTTAATAATATGGTCCATTTAATAATTGGGTTGTTTCCAATTATGTATGCTTCAAAATAAGTTTATTTTTGGAAAAAAAAATTAAAATCATAAACAAATAATTAAAAGTTAATCTAATTAATTTCAAAGATAAGATATAGACACATGAAACAAGTCCAACATTTATTAATTATTGTATAGTTTAATTAACTAAAAATAAATATATAATAAGAAGCTTTCAATGGATTCAAAGAAAATAAATAAATAATAATAATATAGCCAAAGTCAATGACTTTATTACTGGGGTATTTATATTCACATTATTAATAAAATAATTAAAATAAATATTGATGATAATAAAAATAGTTAAATAATACATAAAGTGACATCACGCTTGAACTCAAATATTGTATTGTATCAAGTACAGAAGGAATACCATCACATTTCTAGATTTTTTTTAAATAATAAATTACTAGTATTATTAATTTTTTATTTGTTAATTTTTGTTATGATGCTTCAAAATGCAAGTCATTGAAAATACAATGTGTATAATTAAAATAAATTCTAAAACTTTATTATATTGGTGAATTTTTCAACGTATATGATTTATTAGATAAATTATGCTAATTAAATAAATTAAAAAATAAATAAATTTAGTCCAGACAAGTAGGTAGGTAGATTAGGTAAATTATTATGGATAGTTATCTAACTAGATTTCTCGTGCATGTCATGTCAACATTTTTAAGAGAAAAATACTTAAAGTTAATTAATTAGAAGAGATAAATATTTTCATTAAAAAATTAAAAAAAATTATAAATTAATTTTTTTTCATAAAGATTCAGTTAATAAACGTACTTAACCCATTTAGAGGATGAGACCATCTTTTTTATTTTATTAATTTTAATATGTAAAAATTCAATAAAAATAAAAAAAAAATATTTTATTTTATTTTTCGTTTTTTGGGAATTGAAAAATTGAAAAATAAAAAAGAAAAAGAAAAAAATGGGAATTAAATATTATAAAAGCGTGGCGTGTGATTGGTTGAGTTATGATGAAACATTATTGGGACTCTCAGGCTCATCAACTACTCATCTTTTTCGAAGGGGCCCATTCCATTCCATATTCTTCACTCAATTCAAAATCCCCATAATACCCCTACGTTGACTCGAGTTTTGAATATATTGTCAGGGTAATTAAGTCATTTTAAAAGGTAGATAATGGCATAAATTTCAGAATAATAATATAATCAGAGAAATTAAATAACCGTGGGTGAGACCACGACGGAACATTAGAATAAACGTGGGACCGAACCGGACAAAGAATCCGGCTCTTTTAACTAGAGTTAAGTGGGGCCCATTCCTTTTATTTAATTTAATTTAATTTAATTAATTTATTTATTTTTCCGAGCTTTATGGCCATGGTCCCACGAGCCGGTCCGTGAACTTTCCACCCGGTTCTTTAACTGTTGTTCTACGGGCCCCACACCAACCCCCTTACTTTTAGCCGCTTACACTCCCAGCTGAGCCGGCAAAGCTAAGCCGACAACTAAATTATTTATAAATACTTTTAATTAATCAAGAACAATTTTAAATTATTATATTATATTTGAGCTAACATGTTAAATTTATTACTAATGTCGCTGAGCCTATATTTAAGGTGCATGGACATTGGAATATAAATAATTTTAATTATTAGATGTCGTTTATAGATTGGTCGATTTATAGTTAAATAAATAATTTCATTTGACTTCTCAATCATATATCTATGTTATATCTAATATCATAGAAATAGTCAGTAGCTATGATAATTAATAAATAGCTACGACATAGTATCGTATAAGTAACAACCATACTAAATAATTCATTTACTTTAATTAATTTTTTCAATAAAAAGCTATTACATAGTATCTAAACTTAGGAACATAATTTAAAATATATTTGTACTGTGATATATGTGAGTGAAGACAAAATATATTAGAAGAAATTGCGTATTTTGATGACAATTCCGTTATTTTATTTTTTTTAATTGACACGTCAGCTAAAAATAATAACCAATTTACAAAAAGAAAAAAAAAAGTTTAAAGGAACACTTATTATATAAGTTTTTTTTTTCTTTTTTTTTTTTGGAGGAAAATTGGTAAAAGTAAACACCTTTTTTGTCGGTAAAAACATTGTTTTTACGGCTCTTTAAAATTTTACCAATTCTGGCATTTTTAAGTGTTTATATATATATATATATATATATATATATATTTTTTTTTTTTTTTTTTGCCACAATCAGCCACTTTAGTGGTTTAAGATGGTTCTTTTTGTACATCGTTCCGTATTTAACTCTCATATAATTTGTTGCTTATATAGTCGTAAGTCTCATTGTTGTAAAACGTGTCTACTTTTTAAAGGGTTTAGCCTTATTCCAATTAATGTCTTGCACCTTCTGATAACTGACTATAATACCATTTGAAATAACTCGAACCTATAGCTAGTAGATATTATCCGTTTTGATTTATTATGTATTGTCATCAAACTTCACAATTTTGAAATGCTGTGTAGTAAAAAGTTTTTACACCCTACACGATCTCAAAAATTAAAAAATTTATTAAAAGTTTAAAAACTATTAAAATAAAAAATGAAACACTTTTTTTAATTTTAAAATAATGGAGTCAAAACAAAATATTTTACCTATTTAACTTATTTTGAAATATTGTAATTTAATTTCAGTGTATATTTTAATAAGATTTATTAGAGAATAAATAAATAAATAAAATTAAAAGTGAGTGTGGTAGTGGGTCAGGTAAGTGGCTGACGGTCTCCTCAGCCGGAAGGGCGTGGCCGAGTGGGAGTTTATATATTCCCTTTCTTCAGCCAATTCTGATCAATAATCTTCTTCTTCTTCTTCTTCTTCTTCCTCCTCCTCCTCCGCCGTGTTCTTCCTCCTCCTCCGCTCGACCCACTACCAGTAGGAAACTGCCCAGAAATAATAAACAAAACGCAACCCATAATGGAGAAACTCAAAAACTGATCATTATTCTGCGCCGTTGTTCTTGAATTTTCATGGTTTCTGGTTTTACGAGCTTCATTTTTTTTTTGTTTGTTTCCTTTATGTTAGCGGCTTGAACCCTTTTCAGAGATTGTCAGAACAAAAGCCGAAATAGAAAACAAAAAAAGATGAATTAGAAAGCAAAAGCAGAAAGAAACACAAATCTAAATTTCTCTGTTTTTTTCCTCTGTTCTTGTCGTCCTGTTCCTGCACGTCTGCTTTCCTTTTAATCAGCCTTTTGGAGCGCTAAACCCGGGGGATGGATGGATGGATGAATTAACGAAGCTTTGATTCTCTGTTTCTCTCCTTTTTTATTCACTTTTCACTAATGGAAGTCACCCAAAATCTGTCCATGGTAGTTTCCGATCATCTTCACCAGTTCTTGTCTTTTCCGGTGAGTCCCAAGTTTGAATTCCTTAAATGGGTAGCTGTTTTTTTTTTTTTCTTACTGGGTTTCGTGTTGTGATTCCAGGGGAATTAGATCTTGAAGTTGAATTAGCAATGGGCGGTGGCGGTGACGGTGGCGGTGGCGGTGGCTGTTTACCTTCTCCGATGAGTAATAACAGGAAATTGAGTTCGTCTTTCTTTGGTTCTCCGAGATTGTTTAGAAGTTCTTCTTCAAAGGGATTTTCCGAAACAGAGGCTATAATGAGTCCAACTTCAATTCTCGAACCATTTTTGGGTCTGAGAAGTTCGTTTTGGTCGGAATCAAGTTCGCCCAGAACGCCATTAACAGAGTCCAAACGGCCGTGGGATTCGAAAGGGATCGGTCTCGGCATTGTCGATGCTCTAACGGAGGAGAATTCCGATCAGAAACCCACAAAATCTGACACCAGAATGGTTCTGTTGGGATCTCAATTAAAGATTCAAATTCCTCCTCTACCGCAGTTCGTTTCTCCGACCGACGAGTCTCCATTATCGCCGGCGGAATTCGGGATCAAGACGAGGAATCCTCATCTGGGTTCCTTATCCCCTGTTTCATCTCTGTCTCCAGCGAAGAAATCGTCGAGCTCCGGCCATGAAACTCCAACTTCGCCTCTGGTTTTCACCGGCTGTCTCTCCGCCGACGAAATCGAACAATCAGAGGACTACACTTGCGTGATCTCTCACGGCCCAAATCCTCGAACCACTCACATATTCGGCGATTGCGTAATTGAAAGCGGCGCCGGCGTATATTCACCGGCGAGAAAAGAAAATGGGTATTTCAGAGATCGAACGAGCTTTTCCTCTGAAAATTTCCTCAGTTTTTGTTACAATTGCAAAAAGAAACTCGAAGAAGGCAAAGATATTTACATTTACAGGTCCGAATCTGAAAATTCATGAACTTATCTTCTTCTTCTTCTTCTTCCATTTCCATTTCCAATTCTCATCGGTTCTGTTTTTACAGAGGCGATAAGGCGTTTTGCAGCCATGAATGTCGATATCAAGAGATGATGCTGGAGGAAGAAGGAGGGGATTGAACGAACAAACGCCATGGAAACTGCTCGAATCTGATGATCATTAAAACAATGGTGGGATTTGATTTGATTTTCTTGGATTTTCCCGGAAAATGATTCCTTGTGCTCTGTTTTCTTGTTCTTTCTGGCTACACTCACGGACCCAAAGGCCGGATGATGTACAATTGGAATTTTGTTTTAGGTTTAATTACAGAATTTTATTTTCTAATAATTTCAAAATTTTTACCTTTTTTACTGTGGCAATTATGTGTGTTTAATCTCTCTTTTTAATCCACTTTTAATTATGCACTTTTTTAATAATATTATACCCTATACCGTCGGAACTTAAGAGTACTAAGTTGGATGACTACATACTCGTGTGCACCTTATTTTTATTTTAATTTCTCTCGAGTTTTTACAAATTGTAATCGTCCTATTTGTATGCTCATGTTCATAGCGTTTTTTTTTCCAATGTGTCTACGTGGGCCTCACTAGTCGTTCTAAGCTTTGGGTGCATCCACAGTCACCTGGATTACACCATCCCGTATGTCTTAAATGATATATATATATATATATATATATATATATATATATAATATTAGGTTCAATAACGGTTAGATCCCACATTGGTTGGAGAGGAGAACGAAACATTCATTTATAAGGGTGTGGAAATCTCTCAATAGTAAACGTGTTTTAAAACTGTGAAGGTGACGACGATATGTAATAGTCCAAAGTGGACAATATCTCCTAATAGTGAATTTGGTATCTTACAAATGGTATCAGAGGCAAACAACGGGCGGTGTACTAGCAAGGACACTAGACTCTCAAGGGGGTGGATGGTTAGATCCCAACTCGAGAGCATGAAACATTTCTTATAAGGGTCCGAAACCTATTTTTACTATAGGCAATGAGTCAAAATGAACAATATTTCTTATAAGAGTAGCGTAGAAAAAATGTAAATGTTGGAGAGTTGTTATAAGGTGGAATATTAAAAAAAAAATGTAAAAAGAAAAATATTTAAATTAATAAATACATAATTTATACTTTTAAAATAAGTTAAAATGCAAATAATTCATATTATATTTACATTCGTAGTATTTTGTCGTTTTTTTTTTTTATGTTTCGTTGATTTTTTACAATATAAATGAAAATATCGATTCATCAAGAACTTATGAACATGTAGAAATATGGATGAAAATATGTCGATCAAAATTCAACGGAATCCCGGTAAAAAAGAAAACATTTACAGAAATTTCGAGTAGCTAAGCGGGTCAAGATCCAAGATCCATAAAACATCTGCGAGCCAAATCCAAGGAGTAGCGTTGCGTTCGTCGTTTGACTGGAAGCTGGAGATAATTTTCACGAACAGAGCGAGCAGAAATCGGAAGGGGCAATAAACTTCAGAAAAAGGGTGTTTGGATTTGGATTTGGATTTGGATGGTGATTTTGACATTATAATCGTACAGTTTCGTCTTCATTCCCGATCCCTTGCTCCACTGGATCCCCAAGAACGGATGCGACGGGACCTACTTTGAAACTTCATGTCGCAACCCGTTTCGATTCCAACTACCGGATCCGAATTGGACGACCCCACCCTTCCCTGCTCCAACAATGGTAAATTCATCAATCAATCAAACACACTTCCCCGAGGAATTTTCATTCTGTTTCAAATTATTGATTCGATGAACTACTGCTATTTGAGTCTGGATTTGGTTGGCGTTGAATTGCGGAAATATATATATATGTAAAACCCCTTTTGAGGCTTTTTTGACTGCTTAATTGTTGAATGGCATTAGATTACTAAGGTTGGTCATATGAACTTGGTCCAGGTGTAGAGGAAGAGGACCCGTTGATCTCACCTGTAGATGGAGAGTTGTCCTCTGATAGTAATAATGGTCATTCTGGATACTGGTTGAGTGGAGTCAAATTCTTTGGTGTAGATTTAACCCCTGATAATGTTGCTGTTGCAATGGTGTATTTTGTTCAAGGAGTTTTAGAACTTGCAAAGCTTGCTGTCAGTTTTTATTTAAAAGATGATTTGCATTTAGATCCTGCTGAGGTATGTAATTTCTTTACATTCATGGTTCTTTTCTGCTAACTGTGGTATTTATTGACCAGAAAATGCAGAACTTCATTGTCTTTGATGTTGCACTTTAACTGAAGTTCATGTAGAGCGTGCACTATTCTTCACATGGCTTAACTTCGCCGTGTGTTTTGCAGTCATTTTAAGAACTTTGCTTGTAATGTGAGATCCTACATCGGTTGGAGAGGGGAACAAAACATTCTTTATAAAGGTGTGGAAATCTCTCCTTAGTAGGCACGTTTTAAAAACCTTGAGCCCGGAGGGAAAGCCCAAAGAAGATAATATCTGCCAGCGGTGGGCTTGGATCTTTATAGTTCATATTAGAGCTAGACATCGGGCGATGTGCCAGCGAGGAGGCTGAGTCTCGAAGGGGGGTGGACACCAAGCGGTGTGCTAGCGAGGACACTGGGCCCCGAAGGGGGGTGGATTGGGTGGTCCCACATCGATTGGAGAAGGGAGCGAGTGCTAGCGAGGACGCTGGGCCCCGAAGGGGGATGGATTGTAAGATCCCACATCGGTTGGAGAGAGGAATGAAACATTCTTTATAAGAGTGTGAAAATCTCTCTTCTAGTAGATTAAAAACCTCAAGAAAAAGTCCAAAAAAGACAATATCTGCTAGCGATGGGCTTGGACTATTACATGTAATTTCTGCATTTCTAAGATATGAATAGTTGGAAGAGCATTGATACAATTCTAATGAATCATGTATGTGTTTGACTAGACAGTCAGCTGTAATTTCTGGTTTCGCTGCATTGCCATGGCTGATCAAACCCCTCTATGGGTTTATTAGGTATAAGTTCCTCTCTCGCACAGTATTCAGGGCTCAACTACTTTCCTCTCTTGTACATTTTCATAATAACTGTTTGGTTATTGCAGTGACTCTGTTCCTCTTTTTGGTTACCGAAGAAGGTCATACTTGATTTTATCAGGGCTTCTTGGTGCATTCTCATGGAGCTTTATGGCCATCCTTGTTAATAGCAAGTATAGTGCTGCTATGTGTATACTTCTCGGGTCTCTTTCTGTGGCGTTTTCTGATGTTGTATGTCTTTACTATTATTCCCTTTTGCTCTATTTTTAAGTTCATTTGCCTTCATGTAAAGCTTTGTTCTTTAGAAAATAATCTTACAAAAGTTCTCTCTGCCGGCCTACATTGCTTTTTTTTTTTTTTTGGCAGAAATTGCATAATGGATTGACCATGGAACGAGTTTCACGCTACCGAAACTCGCTTTTGACTATACTGAACATTAATGTAGGTGGTAGACTCGATGGTCGTAGAGAGGGCTCGTGGTGAATCACCAAGTATGTCCGGTTCTCTCCAGTCGCTATGCTGGGGATCATCTGCTTTTGGTGGTATTGTTAGTTCCTACATTAGTGGCTCCCTGGTGGATTCTTATGGTGTAAGGTAATATATTTATACCGATATTTATATTTTTCATTTGACTGTAGTTTTCTTAGTAGTAAGTTAAGCATTAAACCTTATGAATGTACTCTTCAATTTGGATCTCTCAGGTTTGTATTTGGAGTAACAGCCTTGTTACCTTTGATAACAGCAGCAGTTGCTGTTCTTGTTGAAGAAAAGCGTGTTTATGCCTCATTAAATGAGCCTAATCTTCCTAAAAGTGGCTTGAGTTTTCTTGAAACCTCTAAACAGCACATATTTAATATATGGACTGCTATTAGACAGCCAAATATATATCTTCCCACACTATTCCTTTTTCTGTGGCAGGCAACGCCACAATCAGACTCGGCAATGTTCTTCTTTGTGTAAGTGCAATATCTGAGTTGAACAATCATTTTGTTGGTTTTAAGTACTTGAGATCTGACATCCGTACATATTTTCTCAGCACAAATAAACTCGGATTCACAGCCGAGTTTCTTGGACGAGTTAAGCTGGTTACTTCAGTTGCATCTTTCATTGGTGTAGGGTTGTACAATGGGTTTCTTAAAAATGTTGCTCTGAGGAAAATTTTTCTAATCATGTCAATAGTTGGTTCAGCTCTTGGGATGACACAGGTTCACACAGTTTTCCTCCTCTTTTGTGCTGGTGTTTATTAGAAACAAACAGAAAATTAGTGCCTCATTTTCTTTGTGTCTAAGTTCTTGCTTATGTGTGTGGCATAGGTTTTTCTTATTACTGGATTGAATCGAAAGTTCGGCATAAGCGATGGTTGGTTTACTATTGGGGACTCTTTAATCATCACAGTTCTTGGTCAGGTAGTATGTTTTTTCATAAAGTGCTACACCTCTGTCATTGTTCTTCACTGCAAATTATTCTCAAGGATAGCTACATTCTTTCACTTCATATCTAGTAAGACAGACAAAAAAGGTAAAGTCATAGGGGAAAACTTATGTGAGATCCCACGTTGTTGGAAAGGGGAACGAAACCTTCTTTATAAAGATGTGGAAACCTCTCCCTTGTGGACGCGTTTTAAAACCTTGAGAGGAAACCTGGAAGGAAAAGCCCAAAGAAGACAACATCTATTAGTGGTGGGCTTGGGCTTGGGCGGTTTCAAATGGTAACGGAGCCAGACACCGAGCGGAACGAAGCATTCCTTGTAAGCATGTGGAAACATCTCCTTATTGGACGTGTTTTAAAATCTTGAGGGGAAGTTCGGAAGGGAAAGCCAAAAAGGACAATATCCGGTAGCATGGCTTGTTACAATTCTTCTGAGGAAAGGCTAACTTCAACTTGTTTTTCAGGCTTCTTTCATGCCTGTTCTGGTGCTAGCAGCAAGACTATGTCCAGAGGGAATGGAAGCCACACTTTTTGCAACACTCATGTCAGTATTCAATGGAGGGAACCTTCTTGGAGGTCTGATAGGCGCTGCTTTGACTCAACTCTTTGGTATCACTAAAGATAGATTTAACAATTTAACCACTCTAGTAATCATATGCAATCTGAGCTCATTGCTACCTTTGCCCCTCCTTGGCCTTCTTCCAGAGGAAACTCCTGATCCCACCTCAAAACAGAGCTCAGATGTTGAAATGAAACCAATTTAAGTCTCAAAACAGTTCATAGATTGCCAAACTTTGCCTGCCGACCAGATTGAAATAGACTCTTGTACATATAGACCTTTCCATTTATGCATCAGCAAGGGACCCAAACAACCTCACATGTGGTGGGGGGTCCTGCTGTTTGCCACATACTCTGATTCCTATCCCAACTTCAAGAACCAGAAAT